AGAGCGCACGTTTGGGCCACAGTCCATTTCATTAATTGTGGACCCTTTCAGCGTGATGCTTTCTGGAGGCAGTTCATTCGCGTGGAAGACCTGGACAAGGGTGGAAACACAGGAGCACTGCTCCGCCCATGGCACCTCCCCTTCATGCCATCTGCGGGGTTGAAGGGCTACATAGAACCGGTCGGCTGCTTACTGACGTTTCTTCGTGTTCATTGAAAAGTGGTGGTAAATATAGTGTACACGCCAAGGATACTTTGCAGACCCTTTGCAGCCTCCTCATCACATATGGGCGTTTCACTCAGCAGTGATTCACGAGTGCACGTCCCATTCAGACTTGGCCATTAAATGGAGGGCCAATGCTGAGCGTACCAAAAGGGTGATTGCAATTAGACATCCTTTGCCCTTTGCTTTCTAAGGTTTTGCACGGACCCTAACATTGGGGCCACTGAGAAGTTGTCCATCGCGAAGCCCGTAGCTGGAGTCATGCACGATGTACCAGTGCTTGGCGTTTCAGAGGTGTGTTCAGACGCTTCCCTGGTGCGACCGCTGGGTGTCATGTTGTGCAAAGGGTGGTCCCGTTGTGTCGCAGCAGTGACTGTGATGGTCTACTGCTGGAAAAGTGAAGAATTCTTGAAGGCCAGGTGCATACACGTTCTTGTTTTTGTTTCAGTGTCGTATCGTACCTGCAATCGTTTCATTCTGATTGGATCGTATCTAACAGGTTTAGGGTTTCACTTGTTGCTATGATTGGCAGGCCTTGCCTGACGAGGTCAAATCGTTGGGCCCCTAAAAGCTTCAGCGCAAGGCAGTCAGAGCTGGAGACACAGAGTCTGTTGTGAGGTCCTTTGCTGTCATCCATGCCACTATCATGCCATGTGAGAACTTGGCAGGGCTCATTGCAGCAAACCGGGGCAAGGAATCGCCGAACCTGCATGTTGCACATATGTTTTTCCCTTTTGATTGCCAGGCTTCACTTGCCAATCCACAAGCACGCGGCGCAAGCCAAACTGCTTTAAATTGTACTTCCAGATCAAACTCCTCCAAGATCAAGGGCTCAGTTTTGAAAAGGAGCCTCACGCCCAACCCATATTAAACCCAATTGTTCTGACAGGCCAGTAACTGCCAGTACTTTAGGTTCAGATGTTATCATTGCGTTGTAGTTTGGTGTGGCGCAGGAGTGGACTGATGCTGGCAAGCTGCAAGCTGCTTATGATGTTGGCGAGCGAGAGGCGAAGGCCGCGTTCATGCTGGCCACCGATGTGGACCCAACGATTTGCGAGGAATTGAACCGAATGGTACAGAAACTTGGTCAAAGTAAACGCAATAACCTTGGAACTTGTCACCCGATCAGACTTCATAGTCAGGGGCTCAAAGGTTTTTTTGCGTGTTGGCAAAACAAAGGCGTTTCAGCATGAACAGATTCATCACGCACGAGTGCATCGCGCACGGCGTTTTTGGCCGGAGCTACAACAGTGGCACTGGCCAGCTCAGTGCGTGGGAGAAACACCTTCAGAACACTCCTGAGCTGGAAGTGCTCTTGGTCAAGAGGCTGTGCGCCGATTACCTTGGTATGAGTTTGAAGATGAGGCGGCCCTGGGGATTGAAGGATGTTGATGCTAGATTGAGATGATATTGTTTGTTTTGTAAATTCTTTAAGGTCAAACGCACCAATTCTACGCGTAGTAAGCAAACGATATGGTCGCGGCCTCGACGCCGCGCTGAGGAAGCCATTCATCGTGCATGTGGTGCTTTCTTATGTGGTGTCCGGACAGTGCAGAGCCAGGTTCCAGAGGACTTTATGCTGAGGGAGAAGGATACATTGTACAAATCCTTCATGTCAAAGCATTCTGACGCAGAATTGCAGCTCGCGCTTGAGAGCTCCTGTCCTCCCCTCAAGGTTGAGACTATCTCCATGTTCAGGTCCCTCTTATTCCGGTACAAGCGACAGGTGGGGTTTGCCCTGTTCTACACCAGTAGAACGTGTTTTTTCCAACGATGTTTTCTTGTGGATGTTGGTGGCGACTGGGTTTTTCCAATGAATCGAACTGTAGGTTATCAAATTGTATAAACTGAACGTGTGGTAGGTCGATGAGAAGAAGGAACAAGAACTGGAGGAGCCGCTTTGTTTTCGAGCAGGATACCTTTTTGCTTTTAGCTCAATTTCGGCTAAGTTTTGGAATGGCTTTTCATGTAGAGTGGAAGCCTCCAAAAAGGCTGTCACCGAAAAGTCAAACAAATCCTGTGTTGTTTTTATTTCAGGTTGCAACAGAAGATGTCCGCCATCACTGCTCAGCAAGTGGTCGCTAAGATCCAGAAGGATATGCCGGTGATGGATATGTGGAGCAAGGAGGTTCAAGATAGCGCAAACAGAGAGGGCTTTGAGGATTGCAAGTTTGTTGACGCGCGTTTTCAGAAGGGGAAGCTTCGTGTGAACGAGTACATGGTTGCCCACCACACCTACATCGAGATCGATGATTACAGTAGGACATCATCTGAGCTTCTGCGTTTCCAGCAGTCAATTGGTGCTCCACCTCAAGGGAATCTTGTTTGCCAGCGGTAGATGTGGCGTAATATTTTGTTCAAAAGCGGCCCAAGACATCTAAAACCAAGCATTCCGACACCTAACCCTGGTTGGACATACCTCAGGACAATCTTGATGGTATTGGACTTCACTACGTGGCCATCGCGCACTGAGACAGTGATGGACAGCTTGGATGCAGTGGCAGCCGTTTGCGATGGGAATCCCAACTCTGCTGTTCTAGTGCTTGGCCCAATTTTCCACAGCAATGTGGGAAGGGAAGCCATCGTGATTAAGCGTCGCAATTTGGAAGACAGGCTTTTCAAGTGTCTTTGTTCTGTTCAATAACAGTGGTTTATAGTTGCTGTTTTTCCTACTTTGGAACAACTCTGACCCAATGCGCCAAATCAATAAGATATTTTGTTTGGACTCAGGCTTCTCGATTGGTGTGAGTTGACGATCACTTACACTACTGCAGCCCATGGTGGAGACAAGCGCCCCAAATCGCAGCAATGCCTCCTAGTCGAATTGTAAAAGATATTTCCTTTGGTTTTTGTCTATTCACACAAACTTGAGAAGTTTGAGGGAAACCACCTCTCTTGAACTTCTCTTGAGGCTGGCTTTGCACGGGAAGCGTGCACAGTGCCGGTTCCACTAGCTTTTCCAAGTCCAAAGCTACTCTCGGCGCCATCGGGCCGGTGGAAAGGGCCCGGGTTATGGATTTGGTCTCGGACGATCCAGACAAGCCTCTGAGCCCCGGTGCCAGGGTATCTTGCCTTCGTGTGAGCAGATTTTCAATTCAATGGTAGCAGATGTTGGAAAGCAAGGTTGGTTTTGGTGTATGAGAAGTTTTGAAAATTCCACCGGCTCTTGCTGGAAACGTTTTATTGTAGACGCTGGCCGCGTTGTTCGTGAGGCTGCGCAGCGGGGAGTGCAAGCCACGAAGTTCATCCTCGAGAGCATCATGGAGGGTGTCCCCGCACCATCAGATGGTTCTCGCTTGATGGTCACATTGGTGGACATGAACACGAGCAGGCCAGAACCAACCTGTCAGGGATTGTCAGGGTCCAAAATAGATTGTTTAAACCGAAGGCGTTTGAAGCCAGAGTTGCTAGTGGTTGCGAGCTGCCGTTCGAAGGTACAATGAATGGGGGGCTGGCCGCGTGGGAGTTGCAGAAGAGCCAGCTTTCGGGAACCGCTGGTGCGTTTGATTGGCGCATGGTCGGTGTTTTTCATGGGTCTGATGACCCCAGCGGATTGGCAGTGGCCTGCCGAAAGCACGAAGGTACGCTGCGTGGGAAGATCATCAGCGTCTCTTACTTGGAGAAGTTTGAGCAATTTTTCAGTAGCTGTTTTTTCAATAGCTGATAAGACAAGACTTGGGAACTCATGGTTCAAAGTTTTTTGAAATATGAGGAGTGGTGGGATTGCAGCATCGAAGCCGGCCCGAAGAAGAGGCCTCGCTCAGACGCACTTCCAACACGGCCAACCTTGGAGGTTTTGGTTTGGTCAGCGGAGAAACGGTTGCAGACCCTTGCTTTTGCTATTTTGCAGGTTTTAATTCACCATCATTTTTATGCCTTTCACCCTTGTGGGTATGGTATTGAAGGGTCCAAGTTTTTGGAGCAATCCCTAGGATTCCACCTATCGTTACCAGCGCCAATGAGCATTGCCCGGCGATTTCATGGGGCGCGGTAGTTGCAGAGGTTGATGATTGGAACACCAAGAACCACCAAGTTTTTTCCCCGGCTGGCTCTGAGTCACGCGGCGATGCAACTGACTTGGCGACTGCTGTTCCGCGTCCACCGCGGGTTGGTTGCGCACCTGAGTTTGGCGCAAGCGACGGCCCAATTGACCCATTGCAGCGTTATGAGTTCCCGGATGAGAACGTCTTCCCAGTCCACGTTTTCGAAGCGGACCATGAGCACCCTAGACTTAGACCAAAAGGATGTTCACAATAACTTACTTTTAATGTTGGCCGTGTGAGTTTCACTTGTGATTGAAACAAAAACTAAAAGCCCAATTGCAACCATGGAAGCTAGACTTGTTTCAGGATTTTGGCCGCGGGGCTGGCCATCGGCAACAGCAAAGTGAAGGTTTCGATCACAAAGACGTATGGCATTTGGTTGACAAATGTTGCTGATGAGGACCAGCAGATTCGTGCGTGCGAGATCATGGGTTTCAACCAGGGAAGCTTTGTGGAGAAAATGTCAGGCTCCATCGACTAATAGGGTATTATAGTTGTCGTGTTAAAGCCACCATGGATCAAACCTTTTTCTGCGCAGTTTTTGTTATAGTTACTGAGTGCTTGCTGCAATGCTGAAGTTGGCAAGGGTGGCACGGAGCAATGCGAAGGATCACCTTCCATGGTCCCTGACCGCTGACAATGAGTTGGTCATTCTGATCCAGGATGGCGTGAAAAAAACCTATGTCGGTGGCCAGTGTGATGGCCCATTCTTCTGCACACTTGGGAATCACTGAGGTCAACGTTATGGACTACGACGTTGCTGCCATGCTCAAGGAGAATGGAGATGCTATGAACTTTCGGTACAAACTGTCGAGCAAAAGCAAATTGAATTGCTTTGTGCCAAAGGCGGTGGAATCGAGTGCAGACATGCACAACCTTCGAGGGACTATTTTGGGAGCTGCCTTTGCTGAGCACTTTGACGCCCTCCCCAAGCTCAAGCATGCGCGATTGGCTTGGGAAGTTCTTCAATCTCATCTCAAGTACTTTTCATGTTTAGTTCTTTGTTTGTAGAATAGTTGAACGCGCACTCTTTTGATTATTGCCATACAACTGACTGTTCAATCATCGAGGTATCCCTGGAACCTTCTGCTCCTGCGATCCTGCAACCTCGAAAGCCAAAATTTTGGCTGCTTGCATCGATGACGCTCCGGGCTGGGATGGCACACCGGCTGTCTTGAAGGAGCACTCATTGTTTTGGTGGAGGGCACTCAGTGTCTTAGTGTGACAAGCTTTTGGGAATTAGGTTTGGTTGCCCGCTTGCGCAAGACCATTTCTTCATGTCAATGTCTCATGAGAGTGCCCTCGAACATGCTCCCGCATCTGTGCTCGGAGTGGCTCAGAGATTGGCCCGCTGCAGATCAGACCTATGTCCATTTGTTGTGTTGCCAGACTGCTTCCCAATCGAGACACTGTTTCAATGACAAAAGTTCTATCAATGTGTGTGTGATGGAATCGCGCAAGCTTGCTTGTTTGTTCTGGGAAAGGTGCAGCTTTTGTGGGGCCAGCGACCGAAATATAAGCAAAATTGCAAAGGCTGGAAAAGATCAGTCTGCCTGAGAGAAGATTTTTTGGAGCATGAAAGCGATAATTGCAACGCGTGTGGTGGATGTTTACAACTTTCCTGCATGCCTGCAAGATTTTCTTGGGACGTTAGTTAAGCCGTGCCCGCGCTGTCAACAATGGGTTTGAAAGATGTGGACGCGCTGTCAGATGATGCCTCTCAGCCCCCTAACCCTGAGCCTCTCAAAGACCCAAATGCCCAGACTGGTGCTCTTCCAACTTCAGAGCAGCAACCAAAAGTAAAGGCGAAAGCAAAAGCTAAAACCAAAGCTGAAACAGCAGCTCAAGAGGACAGCAGCGCAAAGGCTGAACCTATTCTCAAGAGGCCAGCAGCTTCCAAAGCAGCCGCTCCCAAAAAGAAACCTGATCCGGCTCCAAAACCGGAAGCGAAATCAAAACCGAAGGCAAAAGCCAAGCAGGTTGCCAAAACAAATTTGAAGAAAAAACCAGCCGCCAGTCTACGCGCATACAAGAGCCAGTACAAGCAGACCCAAGTCTGGGGCATCAAAATGGGCGGCTCTGAAGTTGTTCGGGCGCGGGGTTCAAAATTGTTTGCAAGAACTGGCCCAACTTGCTTCCTCAACTTTAAACTTTCTCAAGACTTCCCCAACTTTAAACTTTCTTCCAAGGGTGTATCCTGGTGTGCAGCCTCGGCCCTGCTAGGTGAAGCCGCGGGAAGGTGTGTCGCCTGAGAAACTGCGAGAGATTGCCGTCCCTCGTTTTTCTTCTTCTGTCGAATGTGTCACAAGGGTCATGAGACTTCGGAGTAATTTCTTATCTTTCTGAGCGTTCACTGTGCCAAGCCGGGTTCGGAACAATCTAGCATGGAACCATCAACATCACTGAGCCAAATCCAAGGAGATTTGCCGACTTGAGCTCGAGAAGGGTACATCCATAGAGACAGTGAAGGAAATTTGTGACTCTTGCATCCGTTTTTGCAGCAGATTTTTTCTTCCACAAGAAGGTGATTAAAAAATAAACCATGGTCAATGTCTCACATTGTGGTGCCACGGGCTTTTGAAATCAGGAGTCTACACTGACCGCCGCTGCAGCTGCGAGCGCTGCGGTTGGAGCTGCTGCGGTTGGAGTTGAAGCTAATGCCGGAGCGGTTGGAGCTGATGCCGGAGCGGTTGAAGCTGATGCAGATGCGGATGATGGTGAGGGCGAAGAGGAGGAACGCCAGCACGATGATAATATCGATGAAGTTGATTAGAATGCTTCCCGGAGCTCACGTGGCGAGATGGTAAGAAAACGGTATGCAATTTAACGTAATTTAACGCTACTTGCTTTAGGATGTTGTTTGTGGCGAGTTGGTGGAAAAGTTAAAGAAGGACGGTGTACTGTAACACTAAGTTGTACGAGAGCTCTTGGACCTTGAGGTTTAGCGTTGAACCCAGACTGACTCACTCCGTGCGAGAAAACATTTCGGTCCGTGCATTCTTTCCTCAGGACGGACGTTAAGAGACAGTCCAACAACCTTGGCATTTTCGGGGTTTGGACATAGTGTGTGCAGTATATCCCAAATTACGTAATATAACTATACTAAAGACTATAGGTTATACGGGAATAGCTGTTTAGGATTTAATACTGTAGAGGTTTGTGCAGTGCAAGGCCGTGGGAGTGAAGAGACACAAACACTTAGACACAGGTTCATTCAATACCATAACCCACAAGGAATGAAGGAACCGCACGGTGAAGTGGTCAGCGCACTTGAATCTGTTGAAAGAATTGTTTGCGTGACTGCAGAACGCGGCGATCATCGAGCAGCTGCAAAGCAGCGGGAAACCTGTTTTGGAGAGTATCATGCGAAACCGCCATGGAAGCAAAAAACCGGGAAAGTGGAATCACAGCCTGTCGATTGTCATTGCTCGCAACGTAGCACTCAATCGCCGCCTGTGACACATTCAATCACGTCCTGTGATATTGTCAAACACCATGCAAAAAGCTGTGGCCTCAGATGAAACCTGTGGCCCCATTTAGCCAAGGATTTCCTTCTAACTAAGGTCGACTGGAGCAATGGAATTTTTGCGGCACCTGGCCATCTGTGCGACCCTGTCTGGTTCTGGGCCTGTGGACACCTCATCACTAAGGCACCAGGTATGATTGCGAAACTCTTTGGACACTTGGGCTTCCTGACCATCGGATGGCTGAGTATAGTGGGCCAGTCAGGCTTGTCTGGGATCGCCATGTGTTTCAGGGAAAACGTCGCGACTTTGCTTGTGTTAAGGGTCAGAGATCGCAGCCCTCACCCCGATTTGAAAACAATGGCTGGTGCCATTCGCGGTCGGTCTCTCGTCTGCATTACGTGAATACAGTATATCGGATACAGTCTAAGGTCACCTGGAGCGAAGCAAACTCCATGACGTGGCACCTTGCCACCCGTGCGAACCTGTCTGGTTCTGGGCCTGTAGACACTTTCCCACTAAGGACCAACGGTATTATGGCTGCGAATGGGCGCTTGGGCATTTGGTTCATCGACAAGGTGGCGGCCCTCATGGCCCTTACCCGGGGTCGTACTCGCAAAGAACAGCGGGATGCTATGGTAAGCAGGACTCCTGGATCTCTTGCGGGCGAATACATGGTCCACTGTTTGCCCTACGGAGCTCCTGCTATTTCGAGTGGGTGCAGAGCAAAGACAACTGGTCGGACGGTATCAGCCGGAAAGGGGCACAGGACCTATGGTTTCAACGTCATGGTTTTGCACTAATCACACCTACCCCTCGCTCATGCTCCTCCAGCTGCCCTACCACATCAGTGCCAAGGTCTTTCTCTACGTCTAAGTGCTTTGGATGCCTTTAGTGCCTTGGATGGAGTGCTCCCACGGGGAGAGTGTCAGATGTCAGATGACACACGCGACGCGGGTCGCTTTTCAAACCAAAGCACTTAAAGTACTGACAGTACAGACCTTGAGCCGGTTCGGAGAAAAATGTAGCAGCTGCTGAATTCACGTTGATTGAAGTTCATCAAATATATTCATTCATTCAAGGTAGGCAGGGTCGGTGATGAGGAAATATTTGTGAAGCTTCAAGTCAATGTCTCCCACGTTGCTTGGCTGCTCAAGCCAAAACTGGGAGACTCCCTTGAGGTGCAGTGCCACTGCAGACACCTCAAGATAAAAGTTTTTCCCACCCTGCCACACCCTTTTTGCCGCAGCTTTCGTCATGACTCAGTTCTCCACCATGTCACTGGTCTAGCTGGTGGGCGACTCGGCAGAATGCCTAGAGAGTCTGTCTCTTCACCCTGAAGGTTGGCTGGCCGATGCTGACCATGGCTGCCAGCTTGGGTTCCTCACGCATTTTGTTCGCTCCCTTTGTTGGGACACCGCTTTGTGAGCTCGACGTCTCAACTAGACCCATTTTAATGGCCCGGCTGCCTGCCCCAGGCGGACGCTGTGCTGGCTGCCTTGGTGTCCTTATTTCTGGATGTTTATTGGTTGACCGTCAGTTCATGCCACACGGTCACACAGGTTGCTGCCCGCGGTGTGTACCGTCTGTATGCCCTTATTCTTTCCCTTTTAGTTTTAACATTTTAGCTCTGTCCAGAGCTGTCATCCGTAGTGGCCGTAGGACCGCCCCTGCGGGATCCTCTCGGTCACACTAAACGGATGGAGTGCTCCCACGGGGAGAGTGTCAGATGTCAGATGACACACGCGACGCGGGTCGCTTTTCAAACCAAAGCACTTAAAGTACTGACAGTACAGACCTTGAGCCGGTTCGGAGAAAAATGTAGCAGCTGCTGAATTCACGTTGATTGAAGTTCATCAAATATATATATATATATAAATCATATTAAATCATATGTTGTGTGTTCCTTAGTCTTCCTTAGTCTGGCCCAGGGTGCCCATGTTTTTGCCTACGGGTGTAAAACCGAACGTGTGACTACTGCGATTTTTGAAGTTGATGCTACGTGAAAGGTGGGGGGTTGGGTTGGGGTGGGATGAGAACATGGTCATCATTTTCACGACAAGTAATCTTCGGTTTCATTGCATTGTCATCGGTTTCACCACATTATCTTCGGTTTCATAGCATTGTCATCGGTTTCATAACATTGTCATCGATTAGTCGTGTGATTAAAATGGGGTGGGGGGGG